TGTGTGTGTGTGTGTGTGTGTGTGTGTGTGTGTGTGTGTGTGTGTGTGTGTGTGTGTGTGTGTGTGTGTGTGTGAGTGTGTATTGAAGTATTATAATCTAGTACTTCTGTGTGCGAGCACATAGACCTTCACTCATTTTGTCATCTGCGAGTCTCATGTGTGCCCCCCTAGCTGTACCATAATATGCATATCCACGCATACACGCAACGTCGACCCCCTCCGCCCCCTCCTCCCTCAAACTCCTTCATCCTCCTTTCCCAACCCATCCCATTCATACACGCACACACCCACACACACTCACACACACACACACACACACACACACACACACACACACACACACACACACAACCCTATTCGGAGCGTGAGCGGAATCTAAGACAGGGGAGCGTGAGCTGATGATGCCACTAATGTAGCGTAGATCTGGCGTAAAAGGTCATTGGATGTGCTCGACCTTTCCTCCTGTCATTACAACTCATGAGAAATTCATGGTGGAAAGTTATACTTCACACCTCGATGACGCTCAGCCTATAGGGAAGGCGGCGATATTGCAGGGATGGGAGTCGTTACTTAGCCCGAGGGCCTGTTGGTCCTGCTGGAAAACTAAAAAATCCTCTTCTTTTTTTCTTTTTTTGTTGTTGCACTAAGTAGCATACGTTGCTAGGGACGCCGAAGAGTGGATTTTTCAGTCGTTAATAAAGAATGAGGAGTAATATCGCGCACCAATGATTTATTGAATTAGTGAGCAAGTGTATATATGCGCAGATCGCATTAGTGTTTCGCTTGACGATGACTAAACAGTTAAGGTTACACGCAACTATTGGCATATCTATAGTGTCAATGATGCGTTTTATGTTACAGTGTCAACGTTTTGTACACATGATAACATATACCTTGGAATGAGCAGTAAATGATTCACATGTTGAACCTGCCCACCACGACCGTCCATTAATGAGGAGAAAGAGATTATCTTAAACATATTTTGGGTCTCATGGATAGTTTCTTTATAACATAGAAGGAAAAATAACGCCAGCGGGGGAGTCTGAAGTGGTCGTTTATACTGGTGATTGTCTAAGACAGGCGGTTGTTAGAGCAGGTCCAACTGCATTTTCAAATTAGTACAGGAATTATCACTTGTGAGGTTTGAGCTTTTCGAAAATTAAAGATGAAGACTGTAACCTATTCCCTAATACCACAATAGGCCACAGAACACATTTCCTGCACTAGAGTCACACAAATTTCAGTATGCACTTCTAGAACTAACAAAAAATGTACGTGAAAAGTGGCCTCGAGTATGATCTTCAACCGGCGTCAAGCTGTAGGCTACTACGTGGGCTCTTCGCCGTTGCATCCAAAAGACTTGAGTTCGCTTGTCACATGGAGAAGTTTATTTTATTCTAGAGCAAATTCTCGTCCATCTGCTAGGAAACTGTTTGCCTCTCATCCCCTAACTGCTCCCTGGCTGACAGGATCAAAGCAGCCTGCCTCCTGAATGGCCATGAGAATGTAAAACATTTTGATCAAACCCATAAATATATTATGAAGATTTTCGGCACCCGGCCAGAATGCTGACCCTCGAATATAATAAGATACATCTTTGTTGTCCATATCCTGGCACATGTAGTTTTAAAAAACTTTTTGGTAGATTTTTGTTGCTTTTTCTTCTCTTTGCAATTCATTAAGTTTTCTTAGTTGCGTGCCCCCTAATTGTGTCTGATGGTTGTGGGAATTACTGCCCCTCATTCTGTACGTGGAAGGGTTTGGGTTTTTTTCTATCTTCAAGGGAGACAAAAGGGGGAGGGGTATTTGTCCTGCCTGGCAACGGTTGTTTACACTATTGAACGTACATGGGTGGTTATTAGTAATACCATGATGATGATGATGATGATGATGATGATGATGATGATGATGATTGACTGTCTAAATGAGCTATGACTTTGTATAGTATGAGCAAGAGGCAGTGAGAATCGACACGACTGGTCTAGTCACTGAGGAATGGGAGAGGGGGGTCAGTGTTTGAGATTTTCTTAGTGATTAAGTCAGTCAGTCAAAGTTAGTCAAGCAGAAGCTCGCTCGTTGATTCGTTCACTGCCCTACTCCCTCTCTCCCTTACTCTGACAATCAAGGAACGAGTACAAGAGTAAAAGAGTGAGATTGGTAGGGAGCAAGACATACAGAGAGGAAATGTTCGTGTTCGTTAAAGGAGGGGGGGAGGAGAAGGGATAGGAATGCAATTTTGTCCACAGTGGAAAAGAATGAGAAGAGAAAGGGTATAAAATCGAGATCATTGAAACTCAAGTGGCAAAGAACGTGATAAATTGGATGAAGAGAATATGATTATGCTATCCATCTCGCTGGCAAAAAGACGAAGAGATCGGGAGAGAAATCGACGCTAAAGCCGAAAAGAGTATGGGGTGAAAGCGAGAAAAAAATAAAAGAGTATGAAAATTACTTCAAAAAGTAAAGAAATACTAACCCATAGTGAAAGACGGGGGGGGGGGAAGGAGTGAGGTAGGATAAGAAAGAGGCATACAAACAGAGAGCAGTCTTCATAACTAGAAATGTGGATC